GGTGAACTGTAATCCGCTGTGAGTGTTGTTAAACTCATCGCGAGGTTCAGCGCAGAAAATGCATTCATGCTCCTTCCGTGTGTGTAGGGGAGAGTGAATAATAAATAGGGGACAGGGAGAAATAATAAACAGATGTCTCATTTTAAATAAACACTAAAAACTGAGATGACAAATTTACTTCAGTCAGAAATGTACTTTTGCAATGGTTAAATAAATGTTCAGCGATATCTTCAAAAGATTTTTGAACTTTGGCACATTTTTCTCTATATAGAGATGATATGGCAAGGAAATATTGTTATGCTAGCGTGTGGAAATGTTCAAATTGCGTAGTGTTACAATTAACCCCCCGTTTGTGCCCCACTCGGCCTGTACATGAAATGCTTTTTACAGACAGTTTCCTTATTGGTAAATGCATAAGGAACGAAAACAGCGCTGAGTTCAAACAGACGATAGAAATGAATTGGCATACCTGAAACCGTTTTCGCAACATTTGAATTGTCAGTGGATGCAATCTCATGCAGAATATACAGCGCAGTGAAGTGAGCGAGTTTTTTCCTATTAATAATGTGTACCGATCGAGCCTTTTAATAATGACGTCGCTCTGAGACCCTTACTGTTATTACAACTCGTGCGCGCCCGCACTTTAAAACACGCAATGCACGTTTTAAATCGCGGACTTAATTGCGATTCAAAAATCGCACTAAGAATATTGCAATTCGTAATTAATGTTGGAATATCGTGCAGCCCTAGACTGAACTGTGTGAGTGTGTGTGTCATTGAAACTCAAATTTAGCTGCAGCCAAGTGACTTCGTGCGACCCAACTTGTCCCACTCTGTGACCCACAGTTTGAAAACCCCTGCTTTAACACACACACCACACACATACACACAGGACTGTTTCCCACAGAAAACCTGGGGATGTAAGGGAGTTTTAAAATTGTGATTTCCAGTCATGGAAGTCTCATCAAAAAAATCTTAGAACGTCATAGAAATTACAGTAGGAAATATAAATATTTCTAATTTTTATTTATTTATTTTTCTTTTAAAAACAATCATCCCCTAATAATAAAGGACCATAAAAAATGTATATATTAAAAAGTTGGGAAACTCTGACGTCTGTGTCTTTGTTTGTCTTCTAAACATTGTTAAGAAAATTAAGAAAATCAGTTTCTTAAGATGGGATGCAGTGCATGCATGATTATTGAAAGCATAGTAGCTGTGAATAAAGAATATCTGATTAAAACTCCACATGCTTTCGTTATATTTTCATCATATTTTTGCATTAATGCAGTATAATTTTCTGTACACAGCATCAGAGCAACATTATACTTTTAATGTTGTTTTGAAAATTGGCACATCTCATTTCATGTCGGCTCACAGACTTGACACATTGTTTCTCCACTTTTGTGGGACTATAATTCCTGTGTAACTGGATTTATGCCATCTCAAAATGACTTATTTGTGATATATCTGGTCACTCCAAAGCGCAAAAGTGAAATTCAACCAGTGAAACTATGGAATATTATACAGAAACAGTTAGCAGTGGAATGCTGGGGTTTGCTTGTTTGTATTGCATGTAATAATACAGGTTATGAATGATCATTATTTATATTGTGTCAAGGCTTTAAAGCACACTTAACCTAAACCTGTTCTGCATAATGTACAGTACTGTTTCAGGAAATGTGTTTATTACTCTTTCAGAAACCTTCGTGAATCCCGAGATAATGCTGTCATTGAGAAAGACAGGGCACTGAATGCAGAAAGAGATGCCCAAGCCAAATATGATCAACTCTTAGACCAGTAAGTTCATACACACCTCTCACAAATGCGTGACAATCTGTAGCTGTCTTTATTTTCTGATTGACACTTATTCAATAAAAAAACTATTGAGAAAATACATGTGCAGGAATTCTTGCCAAGTCATCTTTCAGTGTAAAGAAGCGTGACAGCTGAATGTGCATGAATCATACAATATTAATACACTAGTGAAATCTGTGAAATAAATTTGATGCAATAACCTGCTTGGCATTTTGTAATCAGGATGGCAACTTTGTAAATTTTGTTCAAATGTCATTTAGTAAGTTTTTATTATTATTTTTTTTTTTTATTCAGCAAGAATTGATCAGAAGTTACAGTAAAGACATTTGTAATGTTGCAAACGATTTATATGTCTTACAATAATAATACAATAATTTGTCACTTTCCACAAAAATATTATGCAGCACAACTGCTTTCAACATTGATAATAATAATAATACATTTTTCTTGATTTCACTATTTCAGTTTTTACTGTATTTTTGATCAAATAAATGCAGCCTTGTTGATCAGAAATCTTACAGACCCCAAACTTTTGAACAGTAGTGTAATTGGATCATTGTTATTTCCTCCCCAATATATAAATATTGGTTAACTGTAATAAAATTACTTAACTTTTGCATTAGTAAGCACACAGTATAGGGATTAGCGGTGGCATTAACGCTGTTCTAGCCTTTGCATGCACTGGTAAATCAGTGAAAAGGACCTTTCTTTAGGGCTTTTTTATGTTTTGCTTGTTGTTGTTTTTTCTTGGAGTCAAACATTTCAGGCTTGACTGGATTCCTCTAAGGCCAAATCAAGTAATCTTTGAGTGAACTGATGATAGACATGTCCATATATTGTCACTGTAAGTAAAAGTGGGTGTAGTCATGTTTTCTGTTAGTGTGATGTCTGTGTATAATAATCAACAACTTTAAAGTTGCAGGAAGACATATTTTAACCTCTGTTACTACCTCAAGTAAGAAAAAGAAAGTGTTCTTGTATAACTATGAAATGCTTGTCAATGACAAGTAAACAATCAAAGTCAAGATTTTAAAATATGCTGACTGTTGGTTATGATAGCTGTAATTATTTTTGGAGCCTTCCTTCTTGAGGATGAATTTGTCGTACAGTATATGTTCCCACGGTTTTAAAGCCTGTGTGACAGAGGTGCCGAACATGTCTTTGTTAAAGGGGTCATATGATGCTTTTTTTAAAGATCATTATTTTGTGTATTTGGTGTAACAGAATATGTTGACATGCTTTAATGTTCAAAAAACACATCATTTTTCAAATACTGTACATTATTGTAAGTCCTCTATGCCCCGCCTCTCTCAAACGCTTCGTTTTCTACAAAGCCCCCTCCTTTGACAAGCGCAGTCTGCTCTGATTGGCCAACTGACCTTAAAGATTCCTAAATGCATCTACTTCCAGAAGGCCAAATAAAGTTTTTTTCCTTTGCCTAGAAACACACAGCGTCTCCCTGACATGGCTGCTTCAACACTAACTGCGGTTACTGAAACCACGCCTTCTTTCTTTGCATGAACATTTGGGCGGCATTACGCAAATATTTCCACATAGTGAGGTAGATATGTGGGGGGCGTGTTAGAACGAGCCGTTTTAGGGGGGTGTGGCAGAGTCTTAACTTTGATAAAGAATATCTCTTTGGATTTGAGACTTTAGTCTTTGCAACTTCAGGGATCTTATCTATGCACAATCAGCTTGTAACACTCCAAAGAGAAAGGAAAACTTGAAATCGCATCATATGACCCCTTTAATCATTCCATTGTGATGAAATGCAGATGAATCCTTGTGTCTACACTGTCAAGATCAGGGCCTGCACTTGAGGGAGAGCAGTATTGGTTCTGGCCACTGGGCTGTGGTAGACGCATAAGAACAAATAGATAAGCTAAAACAAGGACATGTGGCTAGTTAAGACATGACCAGAATTAAAGGGGCCATGAACTGCCTTTTTATTATTTTGTACTGTACTCTATAGTCCACTTATAATGTTCAAAAAATAAAAAATAAACATTCTCTGAAAAACTATTTTCTGTCCTGTGTTTGACCCCCCTCATCAGAACGCTCTGTTTGAATAGGTGTAGCGGATTGTAGACTCGGAAGTAAACACCCACTACTATGATTGGCTAACAGTTGTGTATGTTTGACAGCCTACATCCTTCATAGGTGGATGCTGCTGTAATTTATAAAAACACATAAATACTCAGTACATATCAAACGATCTGTAATAACAGACAAAGCAATAGTGACCACATTATAAAAAGAGTTATTCACACTTGTGTGGTGCGACATTACTATAGTCGAATATCCAATATAGTCGCACACAGCATCGTCTTTTAGTTTCAATCTTTCTGAATATCGTGCGTGCTTTGTTTGCAAACGAATCCGCGGTAAAATGAAGTGCACAAAGGACCAAGTTCTTACTGACGCGGTCTGGTGCTTCATTAAAAATAAAGTTCATGCACTCTTTCCTAATGTTAGGATCAGGAGGAATGCAATGCAAAAACTGTGCACTGAACAGCATCTTCTTGTCTTCGGAGTCATCTTTATCATTTGATTTCTGCGTAGACCTGCATTTGCCTCTCTCGTTATTTACACTACATGTGCGAATCGGTGGGCGGGGCTAAACAGGCAGTGATGTAGAAGCAGGCGTTGATCATCTTCTGCGGAGCGGTGTTTAGCCACACTATTACGTCATAAAGCGGTACATTCCACAACCTGTTGTTTTGGCAAATGGGCTTCAGACTAACAAGAAAGTTTTGAGTTCTGAAACTTACAGAATGTTTTTATAGTACAATGACCTCTTCTATGTCAAAGTATCGAAGGAATTTTGATTTCTCAGTTCATGACCCCTTTAAAGAAAATAATCAGTGAGTCGCCACAGCTCAGTGAAGACTCACTGACAGGCTAACTTCGTATTTGAGCTCTGATTTTAACAGCATTGGTAAATGTCAGGAGTGAGAAAACATGCTAAACTGGCTAGAAAATTAAAAAGACTGGTATTTCCATTTTGGTATGCTCTACTGGTGCGTGTCTGCAGCCAAAACATAGAAAGTTGAAGCACAGGCTTGAGAAATTACATTCTTGAAATGTAAACCTAGTGTAGGCGTTGCATTATACACTACTGTTAAAAAGTTTGGGGTCTGTAATATTTGTTAATGCTTTTGAAAGAAGTCTCTTTTGCTCAGCAAGACTGCATTTATTTGACCAAAAAATACAGTAATACAGCAATATTGTGAAATATTATTACAATAACAGTTTTTTTTATTTGAATATATTTTAAAATGTAATATATTCCTTGGATGCAAAGCTGAATTTTCAGCAGCCATTACGCCGGTCTTCAGTCACATGATCCTTCAGAAATAATTATAATATGCCAGGGGTATTCAATTAAATTACTAACAGGTCCAGTCTCTATATTTTCTTCCCAGCGGAGGTGTGGACAATACTTTTTTGGAATACTTATAAATTTCCAACTGGGCATCAGTTGTAATTTGCAAAAGAAAATATCCTAAACAATCAAAATAGTCAGTAAAGATGAGAACTTTGGGCCCTTATAGCCAAAGAAGTGGTGTTTTTGTTTTCTACAAAAAAAGGGGTTTAATACTTCATCAGTTGAACCCAATGGGATATGAAAAAAATGTTATGTGAAGAATAAAAAAAAGGATGTGTTGAAAAAAAAATCACAAACCTGGTAGACAGAATTTTTTTTTTTTTTTTTGCATTCTCATTTTCTGCCGTTTTTAATGAAAGTATTATCTAACTTGCTGCTCACCATGTTTCTCACCTTAATGTGGTGCTTTATGTCTTTAGCAGGAGAGAAAAGCAATGCGCACAGAGCAGAAAAGACTTGAAGTGTGTTTGTCTCTAGATAAAAAATTTGCTTAAAAAAAATTGTTACTGCTGTCATTATGTCTGGTCTGGTTGAAACTAAGCTGGGCTCCAGAACCGGACTGCAGTACGCTATTTGAAGAACCCTGTAATATGCTGATTTGCTGCTAAAAAAAAAAACCCTTTCTTATTATTATCAGTGTTGAAAACAGTTGTGATGCTTAATATTATTGTGAAAACCATACTTTTTGTTTTTGTTTTAAAGGAATTCTTTAAATAGAAAGTTCAAAAGAACAGCATTTATTTGAAATAGATTTTTTTGGTAACCATGTACAAGTCTTTGTCACTTTCTTTAAAACCTTACTGACCCACAAACGTTTGAACAGTAGTGTAAATCTAAGCTGAACTAAATTAGAGTAATGATTTAAAAAAGAATAATTAATTAGTAAAAACAAGCATAGAGGAATGACACATCCTCATATTCTGTGATGTAGAATTTCATATTTATTTCTGAAAACTGGTTATGATAAGTGGTTAACTTTTTTTGATAAATAGTTCAATATCATTTATTATATTAGGCCTATAGATTTTGCCATGAAAATAGCTATGAAAGATGGCATAGCCTTAAATCACAGATGAACAAAAATATTTATATTGCAATTTAATGATATAAAATATGCTGCACATAAATTTGCTTGTTTAAATAAAACTTGCATTACTCAAATTAAAATGTACAAAATATTTGAAAATGGGCTAATGGACACAGTTCGTCAAAATGGCAATGAATCTTGTGATTCACGGAATGGTTTTTTCTTACTTTTCTACCACTTTCTCTTTCTTTTTTGCTGCTATCTCTCCTTCCTCTTTCGCTGTTATCTGTATTTTCTGTTTTGTTGTCTCTACACTTTAAGATGCATCTTTTTTTAAATGAGGTAGCTGATAGGGGTGTCTAGCAGTGCAGGTTGTTGCGCCTCCTCTTTCTCCTGAGTGGTCAGCCCTTATTTGCCCATGTGAGAGGCTTACGGTGTCACTGAGCTCCAGCCACATGCCTTGCATACCAGCAGATTCTGTACACACAGTTGTTAGGCATACCCCACGTTTTTCAGCCCCGGGGAACGGATTGCTCGCATTCACAGAGAAGCTCGATCGAGGGCCAAAACGACAGATGCTCCTTTACCCTGTTCTTGAGATGTCGAGTCTACGGTCCGTGAACATGTTGTGCAGCGACTCTATTCTGGGCTTACAAATTTAAGTGGGGGAAGGGAGAATAGAAATGAGTGTTTGCATTGCATTGCGTCATGCCAAGAAACAGAATGAAGCTGAATAAAATTTTTGCAGTTGTGTCAAATGTACTTGCAGGTGTGATTCCAAGATGACATGCCTATATAGCAAAGTAAACGGCACAAACATAAATATATGTATGAGACAATCACTCCTTACAGCATACTGTTTCCAATAGCTTCTTCACCCTTCCTTTTTTCCCTGAATTTATGTAAAGTCTAATATACTTTAAGCCAATAAATAGCTTAACACTATTACATAATGTATGATGGGAGTTGCCCAATTACATACAATTTGTCACAATTATTTCTATAGGTGTTGGTCACCACTATGACGGCATATCCTTTGTATTCTTCACAAAACCGCCTGCATTTGACTGGATGTTAGTGACAACGCACAAACAAAAGAAAAATCTTGACCTGCCAGTTTGGCCCCTCCGTAGGTGTGGTCACGGTTTCAACCAAAACCCCTAGAGCTCTCTGACTTTCAGTAAAAATGGTTTAATCCTTCAGAGACCTGGCTATAAATGTAGGAGGACACAAACAGATACTCAATCTGTTTGGGCATGTTGAGATTTGGGGTTTCAAGATAAAATGGTGACTTTCTGCCCTAGGAAATACACTTAGCACGTCAGAGGTGTCCGCGGCTTGGCATCACCCTAATTTAGCAATCGCTTAGCTTAGCCTAAGGTGAGCCACAGCCGAGATTATACACATTTCATGTTTTTGCCCCAACAGTAAAGACTATTTCAAATAATTGCTGTTCATTTGAACTGTATTTATGTAAGAATCCTGAAAAAAAAAGTTTCCACAAAAATTTTAAGGAGCAAAACTCTTTTCAACATTGATAATAATAATAATAATAACATTGATAAATGCTGTTCTTTTGAGCTTTATATTCATCAAAA